CCGGCATCGTGACCGAAGCTGCTTTCGAGGGAGCGCGTCAAAAGGCTCGTGAGGCCCGTATCGACTGTGGTTTTGACGCGGCGACGCCAGAGGCTGACGATGGTACAGACGGTGGCGCGAATGGCGCCGAGTAAAAGGATGTTAAGCATTTTTTCTTGTCTTGTTCGCCGTTTGGCGTTTAGGTGTTTCTTGTTTTTCTTTTTCTTTTTCCTTGTACTGACCGGCCCTGGCCGGGTGTAAGCGGGGAAGGCCCGCAATTAACTTTGTAGATAAATGAGGTCTCCTTTCCTTTATTTGCCTTGTGTTTATTTTGTACCTCCCCTTTTTCCCCTTTAGATTTTTCTTTGCATGCGTTCGAAGGGGTGGTTTACCTTTGAGTTTGACTCTGGTAGGCATGTTAGTTTTTGATTGTTGACGACTTTTCTTCTTCGACTCGGGGTGAGCGAGTCGGAGCCGTTGCTTGGCGATAGCGGCACTTAGCCTTTAGCCTTAGTCCCAGTTCGGGCGCGGTCGAACTACCGACCGTGATGATAAAAAATGCGGCCTTGTAGTTTGACCGGGGCCGGACTTTACGTGTTCCTAATCTTAGTTCGAGCTGGGAATACTTACTTGAATGGCGAGGGTGCCTAACCTGCGCCTCGATTCGTTGGAGGTTGGGTTTTGCTGAGTTCAATGATGAAGGCGCTTGGTCCGAGTCCTGGTTCAACTGTGGTTGAACTTGTTAGATTTGAGGACGAAGGCGTCTAGCCTTATGGTTCAAGCGAGGTCGAACTCGTTGGATTTGATGGCGAAGGCGCGTAGCCTGAGTCTTGGTTCGACCGTAGCTAAACTTACTGGCGAAGGCGCATAGGCTTGATTTAATGGCGAAGGCGCATAGCCTGAGTCCCAGTTCAACTGTCGTTGAACTTTGTCGATTTTGATGGCGAAGGCGCATAGCCTGAGTCTTGGTTCAACCGTAGTTGAACTTCTTGGCGAAGGCGCATAGCCTTGATTTAATGGCGAAGGCGCATAGCCGGAGTCTTGGTTCAACCGTAGTTGAACTTCTTGGCGAAGGCGCATAGCCTTGATTCAATGGCGAAGGCGCATAGCCTGAGTCCCAGTTCAACTGTTGTTGAACTTTGTCAATTTTGATGGCGAAGGCGCATAGCCTGAGTCTTGGTTCAACCGTAGTTGAACTTCTTGGCGAAGGCGCATAGCCTTGATTTAATGGCGAAGGCGCATAGCCTGAGTCCCAGTTCAACTGTTGTTGAACTTTGTCAATTTTGATGGCGAAGGCGCATAGCCTGAGTCCCAGTTCAACTGTTGTTGAACTTTGTCAATTTTGATGGCGAAGGCGCATAGCCTAAGTCTTGATTTAACCGTAGTTGAACTTCTTGGCAAAGGCGCATAGGCTTGATTTAATGACGAAGGCGCATAGCCTAAGTCTTGGTTCAACCGTAGTTGAACTTACTGGCGAAGGCGCATAGCCTTGATTTTAATGACGAAGGCGCTTAGCCTGAGTCTTGGTTCAACCGTAGTTGAACTTATTGGCAAAGGCGCATAGCCTTGATTCAATGGCGAAGGCGCATAGCCTGAGTCCCAGTTCAACTGTTGTTGAACTTTGTCAATTTTGATGGCGAAGGCGCATAGCCTGAGTCCCAATTCAATTGTTGTTGAACTTTGTCAATTTTGATGGCGAAGGCGCATAGCCTGAGTCTTGGTTTAACCATAGTTGAACTTCTTGGTGAAGGCTCATAGCCTTGATTTAATGACGAAGGCGCATAGCCTGAGTCTTGGTTCAACCGTAGTTGAACTTACTGGCGAAGGCGCATAGCCTTGAGTTAATGGCGAAGGCGCATAGCCTGAGTCCCAGTTCAACTGTTGTTGAACTTTGTCAATTTTGATGGCGAAGGCGCATAGCCTGAGTCCCAGTTCAACTGTTGTTGAACTTTGTCAAATTTGATGGCGAAGGCGCATAGCCTGAGTCTTGGTTTAACCGTAGTTGAACTTCTTGGTGAAGGTGCATAGCCTTGATTTAATGAAGAAGGCGCATAGCCTAAGTCTTGGTTTAACCGTAGTTGAACTTCTTGGTGAAGGTGCATAGTCTTGATTTAATGACGAAGGCGCATAGCCTGAGTCTTGGTTCAACCGTAGTTGAACTTACTGGCGAAGGCGCATAGCCTTGATTTAATGACGAAGGCACATAGCCTAAGTCTTGGTTCAACCGTAGTTGAACTTATTGGCGAAGGCGCATAGCCTTGATTTAATGGAGAAGGCGCATAGCCTGAGTCTTGGTTCAACCGTAGTTGAACTTACTGGCGAAGGCGCATAGCCTTGATTTAATGGCGAAGGCGCATAGCCTGAGTCCCAGTTCAACTGTTGTTGAACTTTGTCAATTTTGATGGCGAAGGCGCATAGCCTGAGTCCCAGTTCAACTGTTGTCGAACTTAGTCCATTTTGATGGCGAAGACGCGTAGCCTGAGTCCAATATTATGGGTATTGAGTGCTGAAGCTCGGTTTTGATCGAGACCTTGAGCGGCTTATCCGTTGCCTTCCCAACCAGGGTATATAAGCTGTCTTGAGGCGACTCTCGGCTCGAGATATCTCCGTGCCGGTTTCTGGCCGGAGCTCGTATCAGGGATGCGGGAGATGCCTTACAGAGATCTTCCCTTAGGAGGGGCTTCTTCTTCTTCTTTGCACTATCCGAGATCAGAGAGAGAGAGGACTTGGATCTTGATTTGAGATCTTCGAGTTCCCCTTGTCCGACATGCCGCTTTGGCTTATTTGAGCTGGGTTGCCTTTGTTTTCCTTTTCTGGCGTTTCTTCCTTTTTGGTCCAGGGAAGAACTACGCGATTTTGCTAGGAAATCCCCACAGACGGCGCCAAATTGTTTTGCTCAAAAGTCATCATATACCTTATGAGTGCAAACAATATAAATAGATCACGGGAAAAGTCACAGCAAAACGTAATAATCCATTAGACCAAATGAAGGATGCGAAAATAAGTGCTCAACTTTAGGAAGAGAAACATAAAAGCTTTTATTGATAATATTGCTTTGGTCTGCCTCTCCATGAAGAGGTTCAGAGCCTTACAATGATATTTCACATATGTGCATCGTTGTCCCTTTTTCTCTCTCTTCTCAATAGTTAAGAAGAAGCCCCCCTTCAATATGGTTCCCTCTCTTGGTATTTATAGCTGTGAGCTTTGTGAGCTGGCAATAAGTGGCCGTGACCACGTTGGGATTTTGCCTTCATGATGACGGATGGGCCGTGGCCTTATTGATCAAATCAGGCAAGGGTTAAAAATCATTAATTCTAAGTGGTCGTACCACTTATTAATCATGAATTAACTTAAGACGGAATTAGCTTCGTTAATTATCGTGGGGTCGGATTCTGACCAATACAATACTTATAATTTAACTGTTCATCGAATAACCCTCACCTATACGTTTTAGTAAAATTGGGAAAATTTTCAGAGAGAAAAACTAATGGAAAATAAAAGATTGAGTTTATATTGATGTGCTAGCTTCATGTGCTAATCACAATAATTAAAAGCTAATTGAAATAAATAAATTCTTTGTTAGTGAATTAGGGCGTAAATAAACTTTTTTGCCAACGATATATAGGAGCTCATTTGATCCCAACTGGATGGTAAAATTAGATCAATTCATATTCGCAGTCAAGTTCTAACTTTTCCCCTAAAAAAATGCACATTCCCAGTTAATTGTTCACAACATGAAAAATTGGAAAAGATTAAATGCCGAAGCACCACCACATCATCATGTGTATTCAGGGGCGGATGCAGCAAGCGAGTGCCGGGTTCAACTGAACCCAGCTCTTTCAACACGGAGCATAATAAATTTATATGTAAAAATCTATTAAAATTACAAAAAATAGTGGATACGAACCCATAACTTTAAATATACTATGAGTTCAATGCTAACAACATTAAAGATTGAACCCATAATGTTTAAATTCTAGATCCGCGTCTGCGGTGTATTCAGAGATCGGCCAAAACGTCTGTTTCCACTTTTATTCTATGAATATATGAATCTTATTCTATTCTTTTCTCGTCGTTATTGTCATCATAATGACCTCCAAATAACAACACCAACCGTAGATTAAAAACTACGTGTCGGATTTAGCTTATAGTATAAAGAATTTTTGGCAATATTAATATATTTTAATAATTGATACTTTAGTTTTTTAATTTATTTTTCATATTAATGAATTACGCTTAATCTATTATTATGTGTTACTTTTACATAGTATTTGATAGCATTAAAAATAATATAATATTAAATTTAAACTCGATAGTTTTTTTTTTATTTGTAATGCAATTTTCGTTTGGGATTTTAATTATCATTGCCCCGTTCTTTTATTAAGACTTTTTACCATGTGGAAGGAAATTTTGAGGCAATAAGTCGGCAAACACCCCTAATGATGTGTGATTGAGGTTTTACATAAATTTAATTAGATAATAGCATCGCCATAAAAAAGATTATAATATAATTTGTATATTACTATTCAAATTATCACCACTTAACTGAGTTGTTCCCTCTTAGGTCAAATTTTGTGACTATGGTAGTTAGAACACTAAATTCTTTTTAGATACATTTTAAAAATAAAAATAAAAAGTTATACTATAGGCAAACGACTTACCTTTTTTTCTTTACAGCAAATACGTATAAATACTAGCTAATACAAGTAGGACAACGGAAATACGGTTGATAAATGTACTCAATTCGTATTTAATCAAGTCACTGAACCTTTTCGAATAAAAGACTTGAGAAGAAAAAAGGTGGTAAGAAACTGTGAAAAATGGTGTGGTAGTAGTCAGGGGCTGATCAACCTTGTGACATACGGGTTCACGTGAACTCAGCTTTTGTCCGAACATTGTAAATGTGTTCAAAAAAATCACTAATTTCCTATAAATATTTAAATGTGAACTTAGTTATTATTGAAAACTTAGTTGAGATCATTGCAGGAACCCATAAACATTAAATTCTGAATCCGCGTCTGGTAGTAGTTACAGAATACAAAACGTTTAGTTACTCGCATTCAGCTTTAGGTATTCTGGTGAACAGCTGAAAGTTGAAACGTCGTTACATTTGTTGGTGTCCCCTCACTTTTTTTTTTTGCTTTATTACTTACTCTTCTTCTTCATTACGCAAAATGCTTTTATTACATGTATATAGACAAGTGAAACTGCAACTACATATATAGAGTGAAAGAGACAGAGAATTCTGTGTGTGTGTTTTTAATCTGTGTACATAGAGAGAAAGAGAGGTCTTTAGTTTGATTGATTATGGCTTCGAAGCTTTTAATGATCACTGTCTTTGTTTTCGATCTGATTGCTTTTGCTTTGGCTGTTGCTGCTGAACAGAGAAGGAGCACTGTAAGTACCTACCTTAGTATTCTTGTTTTCATTTGTAAAATCTTTGTCTGTTTAAATCCATTCAAGTTAGCATATATTACTTGCTTTTTGGTATTTGATTTGTTTAATTCTTGAGAATTTAATTTTGCTCCATAAAATTTCTGGTTTTCTAGTAATATTGTTTTGTAGCATTACTGGTTATGTGCAAATATTTGATGATTTTCTTGAATTGGCAGAATTCCTCTGCTTGGCATTTACTTGAATGGCAGCATCTATGATATTACTCTTTTGATAGTTATACCATTTTTTCTTCAATTAAGATTCTTAAAGGTATGTTTTTTTTAGTTTTGACTTTATATGTAACTCCTTAGTTTGAAAGGGAGCCTTGGCGTACGTAATTGGTAAAGTTGTTGTCACATGGGTTCGAGCCGTGGAAACAGCCTCTTGCAGAAATGTAAGATAAGGCTGTGTGCAATAGACCCTTGTGGTCCGACCCTTCCCCGACCCCGCGCATAGGGAGAACTTAGTGCACTGGATGCGCTTTTCCTATTTGAAAGGTGTTCTTATATTAAGCTAGCGTTTGGTAATAGATTCCAAATTTATTTTGAAAAATCTGATTTGGGTGAAGTTTGGTTCGAAGATGAAAATGTGTTTGGACACGTTTTCAAAATATATTTCCAACTTTATTTTGGAAAAACATGTATATAATTCCCAAGTTTTGGGATTTTGGCCCAAAATAAGCTCAATTGGGATTTGGGATTTGGCCAAAATATGGGCAAAATTTATAGCCAAACATGAGTTTTGAAAATAAATCCCAAATTTATTTTGGCAAAACTCATGGCCGAACGGGGCCTAAGAAATTAGTGTCCAGACGCAAAAACAATTTGACTATGCTAAGCTTATTGGGAGTAATATTTTGTTTTTGCTTCTATGAGAGAATGAGGCATATAATAAGACTTCAAAAGTGGAAAAAACCGCTGGACTGTTGCATATATGCTTCATTTTGATTAAAAAAGGTCTCTGTTTCATTGATAGGCCACGATCCAAACAGACAGTGAGCAGGTATATAGCTATTGTGTCTATGACTCTGACATTTCTACTGGATTTGGCGTTGGTGCTTTCTTATTCCTCACGGTTAGTCAAGTCCTTATAATGGTTGCGAGCAGTTGCTTCTGTTGTGGAAAGGCTTTGAGCCCTGGTGGTTCAAGGGGTTGTGCTGTTCTTTTATTCATCATATGCTGGTAAATATAATAACACGTTATCGCATACCTTGATACTAGAATCTTTCTGTGAAAATTCTGGCTCCGCCACTGATCTGACTTATGTTTCAGGGTTACATTTTTCATTGCCGAGGTGTGCTTGTTGGCTGGTTCGGTTAGGAATGCTTACCACACAAAGTATAGATCTTCGCTCTTGTTTAATGATAAGCCTGTATCTTGTGAGACGGTGAGAAAGGGAGTGTTTGCAGCTGGAGCAGCTTTCATATTCTTCACCAGCATAATCTCTGAGTTTTACTATGTGTCTTACTCCAAGGCCAGGGGTAGCCCCAGGCCATATGGTGGAGAAGCCGGTGTGGGGATGGCAGCCTACAAATGAGAGCTATCGCGAGTTTCTGTACTAATACAACTTTTCAAATTTTTAGTTGCAGTTTACTTCATACGATAGGAGTCTGGTTTTTGTTGGAGAAAGTCCTTTGTAATACCATAGTATTCAAAAGGTCTTTGATTTTTCCCTGCTGCTGCAAAAGAGTTTACAATGTTTTTTTGGTATGAATGTACATCATATAAACTTCTCCTTTGTGAGATACGAAACTGATAGAGGAAATGTTGTTACTAAGGCAGAACAGCATTTGGCTTTAGTGCTTCATACCATTAGTTTATTGGATTCCTAAACGTGTGAAGGGATGATTGTTATGTCGAGGAAGAGGCAAATCCGAAAATAAAGAAATAAAGAATACCAAATTTTAACGTGAAAAACCCTTCAAATCGAAGGAAAAAACCACGGGATCACAAAGATCGAAAAAACTCCACTATAACAATAAGAGGATTACAAAAGTTCTCCAAATTGGCTACACAACAAGGGCCAAACACGGAGCAACAATAGCAACAAGAGCAACAACTAATCAATTGAAGAAAAAGTATAATCCACAAAACGAAGCTGTTGTTCGAGGCTCGAAATCAGATGCTACGAGCCTCCAAATCCGATCTCCACCGTTCAAATCCAAGACAAGATGTTACGAACACTCAGTCAAAATATCAGCCCGATCCAACGGTTAACGAATCGGAAAACGTGATTTGAAGTTGGCTGGTCGGAATAAAAATCTGCAGCAAAACAAATACTTTTTTTCTCTCTTCTCTCTTGATGAAAGCTCTCTCAAAACCCACTCTTATGTGCTTAAGTCTTTCAAAGACTTGTATCAATGAGCATAGAATAATCCTCCAAGGTTGTCCTATTTATAGATCATGAGTGGTGCTTTCTCAATAGGATTGGAAACCAAAAGAGAATAGGATTAGGCCATTGGGCCTTTGGCTGGACAACATGGGCATGTGCCCAATAAACTCCCCCTCCAGCCAAGGGGCCAAATGTGTCTTCAAGTAGAGGAACTATTGACAGGCTTCATGCCTGCCAATTTTCTACAAAATTCATGTTTATCTGCAACCACCGCCTTTGTCAGCATATCCGAAGGATTTTCATCAGTGTGTATCTTCTCAACCTCAAATAATTTCTCTTCCACGGCCATTCTTATCCAATGATACTTTCTATTTATATGTTTGGTCTTAGAATGAAAAGTGGAGTGCTTGGTGAGACAGATATCACTCTGATTATCACAAAATAAGATGTACCGTGGCTGCTCAAAGCCAAGTCATTAATAAACTCCTTCATCCATAATAGTTCTTTCGCACCTTCTGTGACAGCAATATATTCAGCTTCTGTGGTGGATAGAGCTATGCACTTCTGTAGTCTAGATTGCCAAGAAACAGCTCCCCCTGCAAAAGTGATCAAATAACCGGAAGTGGATCTTGAATTATCAAGATTGCCTCCTAAACCAGAGTCTGTGTAACAAACAAGTTCAGGCTTGCCATTGCCAAAGCACAGCTTCAAATCTGCAGTACCTTTTAAATACCTTAATATCCATTTTACTGCATCCCAATGTTCTTTTCCAGGATTGGAAATGAATCTGCTAACAGTGCCAACGGCATGTGCAATATCTGGTCTAGTGCAAACCATAGCATACATCAAGCTACCAACGGCAGAGAGTAAGGAATACGAGACATCTCCTTTTTCTCTTCATCAGTAGATAGACTCTGACTAATACTCAATTTGAAGTGTTTAGCAAGAGGAGTACTAACCACTTTTGCATCTGTCATATTGAACCTCTTGAGTACCTTCTCAATGTATTGCTTTTGGGACAGAAATAACTCATTTCTATCTCTGTGTCGGTGGATTTGAATGCCCAAGATTTTCTTTGCTGGCCCCAAGTCCTTCATCGCAAACGATTTGCTCAACTGCTTCTTAAAGACTGCAATTCTGGATTTATTCTTTCCAACAATAAGCATGTCATCCACATAAAGCAATAAAATAATAAAATCATCATCAGAGAACTTCTGGAAGAATACACAGTGGTCTGAAGAAGTTTTCTTGTACCCTTGTTCTTCAATGACAGATTCAAACTTCAAATACCATTGCCTTGGAGCTTGTTTCAACATATAGGCTCTTTTTCAATTTGCAGACATAATTTTCTTTTTCCTTAGTTACAAAACCCTCAGGTTGCTCCATATAAATCTCCTCATCTAAATCACCATGAAGAAAAGCAGTCTTGACATCCATCTGCTCAACCTCTAAATCTAGACTTGCGGCTAAGCCTAGAACCACACGAATAGAAGACATCTTCACAACAGGGGAGAAAATTTCATCAAAGTCAACTCCCTTCTTCTGGCCAAAACCTTTAACAACTAACCTCGCCTTGTATCTAGGTGCAGAGGTATGGTTATCTTGTTTTATTCTGAATATCCATTTGTCAGATAAAGCTCTCTTGCCTTTCGGCAATTTCACTAACTCATATGTGCCGTTCTCATGGAGTGACTTCATCTCATCTTCCATCGCTTCGATCCAATGATCTTTGTGATTATCTTGCATGGCTTCATCATACTTCTCAGGTTCTCCCATGTCAGTCAAAAGTACATACTCATCAGGAGGATAGCGCATGAATTTTTGCTTCTCCCTTGTAGATCTTCTAAGAGAGGTTTCAGGAGCATTCGTAGTAGTTACCTGTGCAGGAATTGGTTGCTGATCAACCACAACTTCATCAACTGGAGCATCCATAACATCTACACCATGATGATCATTTTGATCTTGATTACTATCTCCATCATTGTCTTGGGTTCCTTCATGTGCAATAGGTGCCTTAGCAATTGAAACTGGATCAATATCAACTAAGCTCTCATTACTCTGAGAATCTATCTGTGGACAATAAATTTGCGTCGAGAAAATAAAATCAAGAACCAAAATATTGCAACAATCGTAGTATTTTATTTCGAATATTTGAGTGTTACAATCTCTATGAATCCTCTGATTCTTCTTTTCAATAGTAAATAAATTCAAGGGCCTTTGAGCTTGATCTTGAGTTTGTAGTTGTCGCCACGAACGATGATCTTGTTCTTGAGCTTGAGCTTGAGCTTGGTTGCTTGAACTTGATCTTGATTTGTTCTTCGTTCTTGAGCTTGACCTTGATTTGTCCTTCGTTCTTGAGCTTGAACTTGATTTCTTGAAATTGAACTAGATTGCTTGAAGTTTGAAACTTGTAGAGAAATTTGCGGCGTTTGATCCACGAGCTCTCTCTTGCTTCTTGTTATAACTTCTGGTGTCTTTTCTGGGTTATGAAGACCCCTATTTATAGTTGTGGAAGGGAAGAGTTATGATAAGAACAAACTCTTTCTGACCAATCAAATTGAAGTGTGACATGGCCGCATTTGATTGGCCAGAACATGTCACTTGCACACGTGGCACGGTTTCATTGGCCTTTTAGTGTGACTTGGCATGCCTTATCATTTTGACACGTGGCATGATCCTATTGGCTCTTCTGTTTGACTTGGCGCGCCACGTCATTTGACACGTGGCACCAAACTGGGCCTCTAGGAGGATGTCATCTTGGGCTTAATGAAGTGGACTCATCACTTTAGCCAAATTAAATGGGCTAGCCCAATGGATTAAGACTTAATTATTTAATCTATGTGTATCGGATTTATATAATTAATCCAATCATATTAGCCCATAATATTTATTTGGACTAGTATATTTAACATATAATCCAAATTATTTATTGAATTTGAATCCAATAAATTTTACATGCTTACACTATCTTCTCAGCTTTGTCAATATCTTCAATAGTTTGGTCTTCAAAGAATATTGCATCACGACTTCTAATAAGTTTATTATCAATTGGATCATAAAAACGATACCCAAACTCATCTTGACCATAACCGATAAAGATGCACTGCTTAGTTTTGACATCCAGTTTCGATCTCTCATCTTTAGGAATATGCACATAAGCTTTACACCCAAAAACTCTCAGGTGATCATAAGAAACATCTTTGGCAAACCAAACTCTGTCTGGGACATCACCATCCAAAGCAACAGCAAGAGACAAATTGATAACATAGGCAACAGTGTTAAGTGCTTCCCCCCAAAATGTATTTGGAAGTTTAGCCTCTGAAAGTAAGCATCTAATTCTCTCAACTAGAGTTCTATTCATCCTCTCTGCCAAACCGTTCAATTGAGGCGTCTTGGGCGGAGTTTTCTGATGACGAATTCCTTGTTCCTTGCAATAGTTATCANACGACTAACTAACTTAACGTTAGTCGACTAGTAGTAGTAGTACGTAAGTATATATATATATATATATATATATATATAAGCTGTGAGAGAATAGAAGTCAGAAGTTTAGAATTGATGTTCAAAAATATCGCACGACAAGGAATTCAAATGAAATGAAGATTTTTCCTAAATAGTTACATAGNNNAACACGCCAAGTGCTTGATCTTTAGATTTCAAAGGATACGCCCAGAGCTTACGAGAATGATCATCAATGAAGGTCACAAAGTAAAGTGCACCACCTTTGACTTTACTTTAAAAGGACCACACAAATCAGAGTGTACTAGCTCTAATAAATCGGGCTTTCTTGAGGGAGGATGGCTATGAAAGGAAACCCTTTTCTGTTTGCCAGCTAAAAAATGTATGCACCTTTGCAGCTTTGCTTGTTTTACTCCAGAAAGCAAACTTTTCTTAGCCAAACACGTAATCCCTCTCTCACTCATATGACTCAATCTTCGATGCCACAATTCTGACAAACTATCACTTTCCACCAGATTTATTGAGTCATTAAGAATAGAGCCTTGTGTCACATATAATTGACCAGACTTGACTCCTCGACTCACTACTAACGAGCCCTTGGTGAGCTTCCATTAGCCGTTAAAGAGAGCATTATGGTAACCTTCACCGTCTAATCTTCCTGCGGAGATCAAATTGAAAGGAAAGTCTGAAGCATGCTTCACATCTTGAAGAACTAACGTTGAACCATTATTAGTTTTCAAACAAACTGTGCCAACACCAAACACCTTAACTTCACTGGCATTGCCCATCTTTAACACTCCAGAATCAACACGAGTATAAGATGAGAAAAAATCTTTTCTTGGTGTGACATGTGAGGTAGCTCCAGAATCTACTATCCAGCTCGTCTCATGGGATACCAAATTGATGACGTTTTCATCATAAGCAAAAAGAAGGCCATCTTGAACAATAGCAACAACATTGTTCTCGTTATTTTCAACTTTCTTTCAATCTTTAGTGTCTTGATTCAACTTGCGGCA